ACAATAGTGTTTGTGTATATACAATTTTTGCATATGTCTATGCAAGTTTATTCAAAAGTAAAACCTATGTTCAATGGAGTTCTGAGTTTTTAGGACCTGTAGCCTTGGCATTGTTCAGTTTATAAATGGTAATTCTATTTTAAATTAATTCTATTTTCCTTTTCTTTTGGTAAAGTTTATATTTCCTTTCTGAAAGTTTTTATACAGTTAAAAAGATAAAGACTAATGAAAAGAAAAGATAAAAAAGAAAAATAACAAGTACAGAAAAGAAAATATAAGAAAGGGAAAGTAGGAACATAATAAAGAAAAAGAAATGTGTAAAGAAACAACTTCCCTCTTCATCACCAAAAGTATGAACAGTTTTAGCAAAATATCAGCTTCTTTTAAAACGAAACAAATGAGTTTTTCTTCCCATATCCCATCTCTTATCTATAAACAAATATTTAAAGTTCTTAGTTTCAGTACTGATCAGCAAAACTTAATGGTTACAGAGATAACATGTCTAATTTAAATTTGATCCAATAAACCAACTTTATATTCCTTCCTGCTAACAATCTTGATATTTAGTCCCTTCAAACAATGCCCTAGAACTTGATTTCTTTTTATTTTTTTTGTCCCTTCTCAGAAAATTCTTCAAAGCTTTAACAAATCTCTTTTGTAAATTCAATATAGGAAAGTTATTCAGGTCATTCTGTTTGTTTTTCATATATCTCTTTTAATAATTAAAAACCCCCCACATAAATCAGTTTATTTTGTATGTCCACTATAGCCTCTTTTTCCATATCGTTCTTGGAGCCTGCCAGCCTTGTCTAATAAAACTTGTTCCTCTTCTATAACATCTTTTCAACATAATATCTATAGAGATAGACACTGTTAAAATTAACTTCTGGATCTATTGTTCAAAAATGTCCTTCAGTATGTCCAATCTTAAAATATTTCGCTCCACCCTGTGTTAGCACAACAAATTTAACTGTTCTACTTCTTTAATTGTAATCTTTAGTTCCTTCTAGTTCCTTCCAACCTTCAAAATCGCATACTATCATTTTTTTAAAGAGAGATCAAATCAAAAATATTTCCCCATGGGAAATATTCTTTTAATTAATTCCAAAATCTTATTTCAAATCCATCTAGATTCCATTTGTAACTTTCCAAAATCCAAGTTCTAACCATCATTTTGTAAATATAACTTTTTTCACTAAGGATTGACAGAAACTGACCCAGAGATGTAAAATCACTCTTTATTTATTTATTTATTTATTTATTTATTTATTTATTTATTTATTTGTCAACAAGTACAAGGAAACAAGTAACAGTATAGACACATGAAAAAAATTGGCACAAATAAAAGGATATAAATAGGCAAAACATAGCCATAAACACATAGAATGATTTCTTCCCCAGAAATCCTCCTTTTAAGAAATTTGAGCATTCCATATAAAGTTTTAAGTAGGGTATCTTCCTGACTAATGAAAACCATATAATATATTGCTGAAGATTGTGTAACAGTTGTGAATATACTTTGGGTTAACCAAGGTCCCTATTAGAATAGCAACAGAAAAGACACATCATGTTCTTTGTTCTTCCTTTTTTTGTGTTTTGCCACCACTCATAGCAAGAGAAAGAAGTAGGCTGGTTGCTAGGGAGAACTGGGAAAATGACCCACCGTGTATCATTCAGGGTGTCTAGTATCTAAATTTAGGATTCAGCAGTGCCTGAAAATCAAATCAGGCTCAAATATTGTTAAGTAACACAAAACAATTATGGAAGAAGCTATTGCTGGGTAAATCATTCAACGTTCGATCAAGTGCATGTTAATGGCAATGCATGTGAAGTTCTGTGGGTTTTGTGAATTGTTAAAGTAGTGAATTGGAAAAACTTCCAAGTGACCAGTTTAATAGCTTGCCCTTGAAGAACTAAACTGGAAAGTGGATTTCCCATTTATTCCTTTATTCAACCATGCCTCAATATAGACAATCGAATCTTCCTGCCTCTCCAGACATTCAGTTACCAGAAAGCAGAGCCTTCACATGCAAGTTCCCAAATCATTTGTGACCAGCTTAGAAAGGTCCTAAAGGGAGTAGAGTTGAAAATAATATTTTAAAAAACATCAGTAACATTAAAAGCTACGAGGCTGATTGCCTTTGCCCTTGGAAGTGTTTAAAACAAGTATAAACATGACAATTTACATGGATACAGTCACCATAGCAGCATGGTAACAGTAAAAGCTTGTTCTAAACATACCCAGAAGGAAACTAAAAATAGTTTGATAGTGTCAAAGTATCTCTGAGTGAGTGTGTGTGTGTACAAGTATGTATGTATATGTGTATGTATACACACACACACAACCACATATGCTAGCTAAAAGAGAAATAAAGCAGGTTGAGGGTATTATTTTTTTAAAATGACAGTATGTTCGATTTAGCAATTAATGGGCTCTGTGATTTTTATCAGCATAAGCAGCAATGTAGATTATTCAGTTCTTAATCAACAAGCACCAGTACATTTGCTTAGGCCACCAGAGACACTGTGCCTTTTTTCCAATATAGGTAACAGTCCAAAATAATGTCACTCTGGTATGAAGAATCCCATACTTCATTAGTCTCTTTGAAGAAGAAACTCTCGAGTCCTACTTCATCAACATGCAGTTGGACTTTTTCATTATGGGATTAATTGGTTAAGAAATAATCAATTAACTGTGCTTCTGGGTTCCATAATGTTCTATTTTTTAAAAAAAAATGTTGCAAGTTGCTCAGTTTATTTAATGCAGCATATCCTTTACATGGCTACGTTTTTGACATCTGTTAATATATATGACTTCAGGGCTTTATGTATTTTATAGCTTTTCTAAGCTGCTCCAATATGTGCAGTAGATGCTGTGTGGCCTATAATAGAATAAGAAGTGTAAAAGTTCATAACTGCCCATAAAACACTCACCATTACATAATCAGTTCTGGTTAAAAGCATGGTAGTACAGAATGGTTTCACAAAACACCAGGGAGAAGGAAGCCCTGTACAACTTTGGAGGCAAGAATTTCAAAGGAGATGGGGATGGGGCAGTGGTGGGATTAAAAATTTTTTACTACCAGTTCTGTGAGGGTGGCTTGGTGGGTGTGGCAAGAGAATGATACTGTAAAATCTCCATTCCCATCCCACTCCAGGAGAAGGTTACTGCAAAATCCCCATTTCCTCCCGATCAGCTGGGACTCGGGAGGCAGAGAATAGATGGGGGCAGGGCCAGTCAGAGGTGATATTTACCGGTTCTCCAAACTACTCAAAATTTCTGCTACCGGTTCTCCAGAACTGGTCAGAACCTGCTGAATACTACCTCTGGGATGGGGTCGCAACAGAAGAGGCTAGTTGAGATTCCCTGGGATTCTTAGTAGGTCATCTCATTGCATCTTTCCTGGAATGGGAAACTTTCCTGACTTATTGAAGTGGTTCTGATGTAACCTGGTGCTACATCATACAGTGCTATAGATGATGATTAGCACATTACACTGGGCTCAGAAACCTATTGGTAACTAATGCAGTGACTTTAACAGTGGTGTTGTCCTGCATTGTTGGATGTCAAGTCCTATACCAGGGCTGTCAAACTTGCAGCCCACAGGCCAGATGCGTCACGCGCTGGCCACACATGGTTTAGCCAAGGGGGGGGGAAAGTGTGATATGTCACGTGACACCATGGGTTTGACACCCCTGTCCCAGGGGTGAAATTCAGCAGGTTCTGACAGGTTCTGGAGAACTGGTAGCAGAAATTTTGAGTAGTTCGGAGAACAGGCAAATACTGCCTTTGGCTGGCCTCAGAGTGGGGTGGGAATGGAAATTTTACCGTATCCTTCCCCTGTGGTGGGAATGGAGATTTTGCAGTATTCTTCCCCTGCCATGGCCACCAAGCCACGCCCACCACACCACACCACGCCCACCAAGCCACGCCCACAGAACCAGTAGTAAAAAAGTTTGAATTTCACCACTGCCCTGCCCTATACCATTGGGCATGATCAAAGAAACAAGAATTATACAGTCTTCAGTAATGCTAGTCTTGAAGTAAGTACAGAATCTTGGAAACTGCAAAAGGAATGTACAGCCTAGTTTCTAGTTTATTTCACTTCTTTCTTCCATGTCCATATTTTTGACGATCCACTCTTTGAGACTACCCACCCCAAAGATCTGTCCCATATTCAAAACTTTTTATCAAGCTTATATCCTTCACTAATTAATTGTTTGCCATAGATAATCAAACCAATTTTAGGTTTTAAAGTTAGATTATTTCTTTTGACATGTGTAGGTATGAGTGGACCTATGGTTACATCATATATGTAAACAATCAGATCTTCTTCTAAATTGGTAAAAGAACCCTAATCAAACTACTTTATCTCATTGAATGAGATTTGCTCAAGTTGTTACTAAAACATCTTTTTTTAAGTTTACAGGAAATTTGATGAAGCAGGATAATCCGTGAGCCATTTTTACCCAATGATGCCCATAACAAAGCATAGGTAAAATGTACTAATTTCACCAAATCTAGCACAATTCATAATCTAGCAGTTCTATTAGACAGTGAAACACACAATTCCAGTATTCCTTAAAACTATTTTGTAAAACCAACTTCATTATGAGAAATTTAGCAAGCCAAAATCATAATCATAAGAGTTTATTTTTATTATATGCCAACTGGATGTGTGCCATTTTAAACTTCTCTTTCCTGACAGTAACAGGAGAATCAATTTCCTATGGAGAAAAGTTCGTATTTGTTCTGAGCATATTTCCTCTGTGCTTCTTTTGTTTCTATCTATTCAACTGTTGCTGTGGTGATTTTTTTTTTTTTTGCTACTAATATTATTTCAACTGATTTTTTTTCTGAGTCACATGTAAAGGTCTCCAATATTGCTGAGAAAAAAACAGAAGGGGCCAAAACGGAGTAATTGCCGAGTTCTGTTAGAGTGTAGCAATGATTGATGAAAGAATGTCAAATTAATTTAAAATATATTGGTTGAGTCTGTGAAAGTCACAGCCAAGTCCCTTGCTTAGCTTAAATCAGAATTCCTCCACTTGAGTGCCCTGCAGATGTATACATCAGTTCTCCAAATTCTCCAACCAGCATGGTCATTATTGAAAAATACAAAAGTAGAAGTCTTTTCAAATTTTGGATGGCAGGTCTAACCATCTTGTTTTAATATTTCCTTCTTATATATCTCTTTGTATCTCTTTCTAAAAGCTCTTTAAGGGAAGGGAAGGATTCAAATACAAGAAATGGACAAATATAATGTATTACACAATGGACTAGTAAGAGCCTCAATTACACCCAAGCAATTTATTGGAAGTTTCACAGTTATTTTGAAAATACTGTCTATGCATTCCCTTGTATAACATGTTGGAAGTTTTTTCTTTGGAAAACAACAAATATATCTGTCCCCCAGTAGATTTCCAGGAAGTCAAGCAGCGTGTTGAGCTAGGTGAGTTCACCCAATTCCTTTTGCAAAGTCAGTTGTGCTTTTGGTTGATTTCCTGTTACTCAGCATTATTACATTAGTTGAGATCCTGGCACTGCTAGAAGAGAGGAAATCTCTTTGGTATTTCCAGATACTGGATTCAGACAGATACTGACAAATACTGTAGCTCCCTTTGCTATCAGTCAATGTGCCCTGTCTCTTTTGCTTCTTAATTGTTCTTTTACAATAAGAAGAAAGATAGAAAGAAAACAAAAGAAACTATGTTACAGAAAATAAAATCCTTAATTGGAGGCATAACATACATATAGTTTTATAAACTTTGATCCCATCTCCCATTATGTCCTGTCGAGAGCAAAGAACATAAAGCTCTTGCTGGCCTTTTGGCAATAATGAAGCTTGATTTGATTTGAAAGTAAAACTGCAAATGTCTACTCACTTTCCCCTTGTGAAATCAAGATGAAATTATGTAGCTTTTCTGCTTGGTATGGTTTTTATGAAGGACTAATGAATGGCTCTCAACTACTGTCTATTTGCTCAATTCACAAAAGCCTGAGGCAGTTCTCAAGTCTCTGCAAGAAGTCTTGAGACTTGCATGAATACCAAAACCATTCTGGAAGAGCAGATGATATCATATGGACCTTCTTAACCAATCATTGTCCTACTTCTGAAATGCTGTATTCTTAGTGGAAACCTATCAATATGCACAGTTCCTGGAATTCTGTATATGGACATTGGAGGGTGAATGTTCTCCAAGCTAAAATACATTTCTTGGAAGGATTTAGGTTATGAATACTTACCAGTAATCTAGTACAGTCACAGGTTTTCTTTTTTAAAATCTTTCTGTTGGTTTCTTGCTGTTTTGATCTGGTCTTTTTGTTCATTTTCTTGCAGCAGAAATGTTCCTTCTAGGAAAAGTCATCACAATACATCTGAATAAAGTTTGCTATCATTGCTGCTGCTGCTGCAGAAAGTAATCATGAAAACAAATGAAGGAAGAAATTTTAAAAAGGAAAAATTTCCCCCAAATAAAAATGTCTTCTGTCATAAAAAAGGAGACACAGAAACAATGACAATCAAATGAGGTTTTTTTTCTCCCTTTATTCTATTTCCTGTTATTCACATTCCTTTTTAACTCAGAGAACTGCACTGAAAAATTTACCTTGATAATATTTAATACAACCTTTATCAGAGATACATTCTTCTTCATTTCTGTGTTAAACGATATTTATACCACTTAGTTTTAAATTTCCTGCATGCCATTTTGGTGCACACTGGCAGGGTGTAGAATGCAGCCAAATTAAAACACCAAAATACACTGTGTACTGATTAAGGTATACCATCTATGAGCCAGAGTGACTTAAAGCAATCCCGCTGAATACTTTCTACACCACAAATAATGTTCTACGAACATTAAATGACTTATAGCTAAACTTAGAGAATATCTAACGCATACTCTACCAACACATGAAAAATAAAGCTGTCATAAAACAAAGGATTTTTGAACAGGAGAGCAGGGATGTAAAAAGTGTGGTCTAAGGGCTTTACAGATCTCCCTTCTGAGGCCTCCAGAGCCTCTCCAACTAGAATGAGGGGTGTCAAATTAGGGGCTTGTGGGCTTGATGCGTCATGCACAGGCCCCGCCCATCCCAGCTTCGGGAAGGGGAAAATGTTACAAAATGTCACATGACAGCAACGTGACGCCGTGAGTTTGACACCCATGAACTAGATGGAACAGAAATATTATATGTTGAGAGTTGGAAGGAGACTTTAAGGGGAAAAAGATTCCTAATCCTGCAGATATTTAAAACATTTCATTTTATCCTTAAAGCACCTAACCCGTTTTTTCCAAGTGGGCCCTGATCCCACTCACTCTGGGAGATCAGTCTTCAACATGTCATTGTTTTGCCTTTAAGTGGACAGAATTGCCCAATTTTCTGTAGAGCTTTCAAACATCAATGTCATAGAGATATTTTCAATGGATAATTCTTTTTACTAGCAAAGGTTTTTGTCTTTGACAAGTTTAGTTCTGTGTCTATGTCATCCAAGTCAAGTGATAGGCAAGATGGATTCAGATCAGACCCACAGTGATAAGGAGAACTATTTCCCCTGCCCCAACAGTATCTTGGTTATTTTGGACATTTTTGCTCTTGACTTTTAGAATACCATTCATTAATTTAAGAAGATAAGAATAGGAAGCTGCTGACCCAAATCATTGCCATTCCTCGGATAGCATTTTGGTAAACAATGGCAAACAGATGCTAATGTAAAACTCACCGATCAGGACATAAAGATGTTTTTTTTTTTCCCGTAGTTAACCATGAAACTTTTCTCCTTACCCTTCTTACCCCTTCTTTTTTCTAATTTGATTTTTGTTTAAAGAAGGATTTAATCATGTGAACCCAGCCAAAAAAATAATAATAATTCCTGTGTACCCTAGATAATCAGTTTGTTTTCTTAGTAAGAACTGTGCCAAAATCCTAGACTGCATACCAAATACTCTTTTGGGGATTGGCTTTTTACAGCTGACTACTAAGAGAGGGAGTTGCATTTTCTATATTTAAATTATACATTTGAATTATATTATTCTGTTCTTCAACTAGCAACTTCTTTGAGCAGATACAGGGTGAGGAAGGAAGGACGAGACCAGAGGAACTGACTGCTATGTTTTCCCTCTTTCTTCTCATAAGTTGCTCTAATATTTTTTGTTTCTTATGGTGCCTGAGGATCATATTATTCCTGCTATGACTTCCCATGACTTGCCCATGAAGCTAGAAGGTTCACCTGGGAATGCTAGCTATGGCTCATGGCACATGTTTATTCCTAGATCTGTCTTGTGGTGACCAAGTGGTCAGAGAGCTGTGATTCTGAATCACTCTTCTGCATTAGAATAAGTCTGGCATGAGATAGATGTAAAGTATGTCTGACTATATGATGAGTCAAATAAGATTAAGATATGTCTCCTGAGAATGAACACTGCCCTTAAATAAGATCCACTTATCAGAAGAGCAAAGGCAAGCATTCCTAAAAAGAAAAAGCAGGGGATAAGTGAGCTGTTCTTTGATCTGCTCCCTTATACTTTGAATATTTCGTGTTTTGGTAGTCATGAAACATACGGTTGTTTAACTTTTTTTGTGTGTCAGTACAACCCTATAGCAGTGAAACTAATCTCCTTGATGATTGCTAAAGGGATGTAAAAGAAATCTGCCAAAAAATATTATGGGAATGGATCTGCCAAAATGGACTCTTCTCTGGTATAAATAGCAGCCCTGAATATGGTCTGCCAAGACCCATTAAAATCACTCTGCACTGGGAAAACATTCATAACATTTCTATTCAGTTGCATTCAGTATTGCCATCTGGATAGATGGGAGGATTATAGATAATGTAGTTCTTGTGGTTTCATATGTTCTCCTATGTATTATCCCACCCTCCCCTTTTCACCCCTTTTCACCCCTATTTATCTCTTCTTGGCTCTTTTCTTTTTCTTCCTGGTACCCATTTCCATCATTGTGCATGCTCATATCTACTCACAATATACTCCCCCAAGATTCTCCCCCAAGATTCTTCTTGTAGCCTTTTCCTCTGTACCTTCAATAGCCCCTCCACAGTTGCCTGTTGACTTCATGCCTTGTGCTGATGCGGTCATCTCTATTTCCTTGTTACTTTGAACAGCAACAGCCTCTCCCTCTTATTGGTCTTGCACCCCCTTTTGCTCTAAAGCTCCATAAGTAACAGAGGATAGAAAACAAACATCAATACAAATATTTTAATATTTTTGTTAAAATCCAAATTTATAGTAATTGTTGAAATCCTAGTTACCGTTTTCCTGGACCAGGAATGAAGAACTCCCCCCCTCACTTGTTTTTTTTTTTTTTAATTCTGATTATGGCATACCACAGTAATTGAAACTTCACAGAATACCACAAAGTGTGGGCTTTTCATAATTAAAATTTGCTTGCCTTGACTACTGTACACATTTGTCAAGTGGAACATCTCATCATCAACAAAATTCCATTGGAGCTTTGGACACCATTAGACCCATTATGCCCAAATAGAACAATGTAATACTTTCTTCAATTCATCCTAATGGGCTATCATTTATAACGGGAAACTATTGGATGGTATCTCCATGATAGGAGCAATAAATGTTCTGAAGCTTTAAGAAGATATTTGTAGACATTTTATAATATTGTTAATTAAGAGATTGCTCTCTTAATTAAGAGATTTTCCATGGACCAATGAGTAATCTTTATTCTGCTGCATTGAAACATATATTTATTTGATTTTTTAATCTCAAATAAATTTCTCATTCCTGAAGCAGCTAAGAACCTATAATAATAATAAGAAAGCAATTTAAAAAATCAGTAGAAAGAAAGGATTATTATTCTCAATTCTAATTCATTCCAAAAGTATTTCATCTTGAAGTTCTGTACCAATGAGGCATGAAGTAGATGAATATCCCAAGGGAGGGAGTTGCATTTTCAGGAACCCACATCAGAGAAAGCCCTTATTTTATTTAATTATTTTTTTACAAAATATTTTGATACTGCTTCCTATCCAAAGAAACATTTGCAAATTAAGCATGGCAATTATAATTAAAAAACAGCTAAAACAATAAAAACATACAAGGCATTTTACAAACTACGCCAATAAAAGTCAACATTATTCAACATTATTCAAACACACATTGTTCAAAAAAAATGAACATTAACTTGGTTAGAGAAAATAAAAACAGAAATGAAGTTTTTAAAATATCACATCATTAATCCATGATAAGAAGCCCTGGAAGAATAAAATAATAAGGACTGAGTGTGGTCCCCAAAAGACAATAAATTTGTGCTAAGACAATGGAGAGCATTCCAAAGTTTTTTTGGGGGGGTGGGGGCTACTATTGGAAAGGCCACCTCCCAGAAAGCCATTCTCCATATTTCAGTATACAAGAGTACTTGGATAATTAACTTCTTTTCACTGAAGAGCAGAGCAGATGAGTTCACATTCAAGTTTATTTGATAGGTGGCCTAATCAATATAATTTATTAAAGAGGAATTAGACAATGTTTCAACCAATCTTATTGTACTCTAGTCATATGACTACTGAATCACAGATTGCTATATCATTTGCAGCTGACACATGACTAGCAGTTTGATGAGCTCTGGGAAAAAGCTGGCATGCTGAGTACAGGAAGTGAACAGTCTCTTCCCCAGTGTGATCATGCTCCCCTGGAGCCCATCAAGCAGCTAATTGTCAACCTACTGGGAACAAAGGGCTGTGCAAAGGGTTAGAGCACTAGCAGTTGGATTTATACTACAGGTCGTCTACAGGTTGCTCATCTGTTCTTTGAAGAAAATACTAAAATATGAAACTGTCTTTGGAAACAGGCCTCAAACTGATTAACACTGGGTTATATGCAGGGGTGGGTTCTAAATTTTTTTACTACCGGTTCTGTGGGCGTGGCTTATTTTGTGGGCATGGCTTGATGGTCATGTGACAATTATTTAGGATTTAGCAGAGGTACTGATCTACCAGGCTTTTAACTGCTTGCAGAGCTGTACCGATCTACCCATTTATTTTTTGCAGGCACTGGTCTACCCATTTATTTTTGCAGGCACTGATCTACTCATGTATTTTTGCAGACTCTGGTCTACTCATGTATTTTTGCAGGCACTGATCTACTCATGTATTTTTGCAGGCACTGGTCCACTCATTTGTTTTCTTTTAATACTGATCAGCTGTAGGGCGGCCCTTTGAAGCCCCGTGGCAAGAGTTTAAACAGTTTTTTTCCCTCTAGCCATCAGCTGGGACTCAGGAGGCAGCAATAGATTGGGGATGGGGCCAAATAAAAGGTAAGAATAACACGGGAGGCGGGTGGGTGGGGCACGGGGGGTGGGGGGCACGGGAGGGCGGGGGGGCAGAACCGGTTCGATGGCGTCATATCGTCACTGCTACCGGCTCAGGAGAACCGGGCCAAACCGGGAGGAACCCACTGGTTATATGAGAGTGTGTGTTCTAATGTATAAAACTAGGTACAATTTTAGGCTGTGATATTCTGTACAAGTTTCTATTTTTTTCCCCATGGCATATTCATCTCCAGCAAATTTCAAGAATCTAACCTGGATTTGAGCAAGCAACTTGTGATAAGAAACCATAAAAGATACTGTGGGTACCTCTGACTAAACTATACAAAACTTTTCCACCTGTACCATCACCCAAAAGCAGAACCAAACCTAGGAGCACTTCAGGGATGGGTTCTACTTACCTTTACTGCTGGTTTGCAACAGGAGTGCACACATGCACTCACTTTGCTCACGCGCGCTTCTGCACATGTGCAGATCGTCCATTATGACATCCAGGTGGGTGGGCGGAGCCTCCCGCCACTTTTACTACCAGTTCGCAAGAACCAGACAGAACTGGGAGCAACCCACCACTGGAGCACTTCTGGTTCTAAAAATACCACAGAGCAGCTTTTCTACACTTATTGTGTCATTTCTGGCTTTTTGCACTACCTCTCAACTGATTAGCTTACTTTTAGCTTTTCATAGATATCAGATTATTTGTTTGTTTATCACATTTGGCTGCCTATTTCTCAAAAGTGACCCTGGACAAAATACAACAATAAAATAGCAATATATAAAAACAATCATTATAAAAATATAAAAGTCATTATTAAAAACTAAAAAACACTATTAAAAAAATATTCAAACCACATGGAAAGATCAACTACAATCGAGCCATCTAAAATATCTCCACTTTCAGATATTGATGGAAAACCTCTGCTGTTTTGACCTGAAAATTCTGTTAGATTTGAGCATCATATCAGTACTGAAATGTTCAAATTCTCCCAGTAGGTTCAGGGAAATGTTTAAATATCCTCAGAGTTGTTCTGAGAGTGAGATAGGCTGTTTCTAAATTTGATAAATATGTGAAAACTGAACCAACAAAAACATATAAATATAATTTATATGGAACCTTATCAATTAGTGATCATATGCTTAGCAATATTTGACCAGACTTCCTACTGAATCCTAGGATGGCAAACCAAAACAATGGCAGTTGACATTTTCAGCCTCGTTGCAGTTCTGTGATCCAAAGGATACCATTACTGATGGAAACAAACTGAAAGATCCAGCAGCCTCAGTGTTTACCTCTTCCCCTGTTTCTGATTTAGCTTCTCCATCAGATGAACTAAAGATCTTCATCTGCAAATCAGTTTAAAAACGTAAAATAAAGTCTGAATAATTGATGTTGTATGAATCTGAAATTTGATTAGTGATAGACTTATATTTCTTATCCCCACCAGAAGGACAATTGAATTAGGTTATAATGCCAGATGGCATCTAAATATGGTTTATTTGATAAGGTGTCAGCTCAGTTTTCTTCACAGGTTTTAGCATATTTGCACTACTTGCATCAGTTATGAAGAATGGAAAGGATTAGGAGGAAAAAGCTGATTTCATATCTTCAAGGATGCTTTCCACATTCTAAAAGAGCAAAGGTGGTCACTTGTTGAGGCAAAGGCATATCTGTACTTGCTATTTTCTGGCTTTTTAAAGAAGTGGCAGTGTTGCCAATGGCCATGCTTTGTTAATAAGGATGGTGTGCAAAGACATCCCTCATGTTGGAAGCATACCCTCACGCATGCAGAGAATCTGGTATACTCAAGACAGCTTCCAGCAGAACAATCCATGGCTATAACCTGCTTTCATGTAAAGACTATCCTTACTAAATCAAGGCAAATGTATACATATACATTTTAATTTTTGCTGAAATATAGTAGGTTTCCCTCTCCAGTCGTGTCTGACTCTAGGGTGCTTCTGTGGCCATGTGAGCCACAGAATATATGCTGAGTTGCACAGAACGCTGTTACCTTCCCACCATAGTGGTACCTGTTTATCTACTCCCATTTGCATGCTTTCCAACTGCTAGGACATGTAATGAGTGCTCACCCATTGCATGGCGTTTGAATCTCGAACCCAGGCTTTCAGCTTTCCAGCTGACAAGCTCAGCATGAGCTGAGCCATTGCACCAGTGATGGGTTGCTCCCGGTTCTGTCCGGTTCTTTAGAACCGGTAATAAAAGTGGTGGGAGGCTCCGCCCAGACATCATAATTGGCAATCTGCACATGCGTGCACTCCCGTTTTGAACCGGTAGTAAAGGTAAGTAGAACCCACCCCTGCATCGCACCAATATGAAATATGGGAATCAAACTATAATAATAATAATAATAATAGTAATGCTACCAACTTGCATAACTATATAAGAAAAACAATATTGCCAATTGTAGAACAAAGGAATGTGATGTCCTGCTATATAAATAATTAGATAGGAAGTGTGAGTCTGTCTCATAATAACTGTAATTAAAGAGCTTTTCATAGTCTTTGTTAATTAAAGATCATTATAATTTACATTTATCAACATGTCCACATTAAATATTGGTTGATATAACAGTGACAAAACTTTGATAGTTTTTTATCTTTAATTTACTGAATTATATTTTAACATGATATTCCATATCATTGTAAGCCTTGTATTTAGAATATGCACAGATTGTCAGCAAGGCGATCTCTAATCTTAAAGAAAGAATGTTAAAAAACCTAACTAAAATACAAAAGAAAAGAAAAGAAAGAAGGCAAATCTATGTTATGTTTTATATTTATAAATAGTTACTGGCTTAATAATGAATTTGCTACTATAACAGTGCA